GCTGTTAATAATAATAGCATGTTGATAATAATAGCTTGCTGTTAATAATAGCCTGCTGATTAATTATAATAATTCACGGCTTCCAATCAACTTGCTGGATGAAGAAATCCCCACGTCGTGTTGACTCTGCGTTGTTTGACCATACTTCACCACACCCTTTCAGTGCGAGTTGTTGGATGAGATTAAAGGCAAAAACTCAACTATTTAAAAAAAAATTGTATTTCACCAGCTAAAGGCCCACTGAGCTATCTAGCTCAGAAGCGACCTGGTCACAATGGATATAGCTCAGCGAAGCGAATGATCGTCATGTGGAAATTTATAGCAGCCAAATACTCTAAACCAGTGGTTCTTCTTCCTCTTCTAAACTTGGGGGATGTGCACGCCAGTGACGTGCGGTGAGGTCAATGGCTGGGGAGGCACTGGCTAGTGTCAGAGCCAAATTCACACACTGAGGGGGGCGTGGCCTCACGCAGGTGGGCGTGGCCTCACTGAAGGGGGCGTGTCCTCACTGAGGGGGGCGCGTTAGACACGTCACCCTCAGTGAGGCAGATGTGATAGCTGCCTCCCCTGGTGCTTTTTCATTGCAGTTTCATGACGAGACCAGCGACCCTAAACATCTTTATACACTCACGTGAAATAAGTTACCTGGAGTATGGAAGGCGAGGACATGAAATGAAGAGGTCTACAAACATTACATTGGTGACATACTGAGATAGTAACAGGCACGCGCTTATTGCCCGTGCTCCATCCAGTTACTGAGGGGTTGCGCAATCAGAAGGGAGGCTGAGCTCGCCGCTGCCTCACCCCTCGTCTCTTCCTGTATTTGCAGCGGAGCTCCGCAAATTTGGCGATTTTGACTGTAAAAACGATTCGAATGGTACAGAAATGACATTTATAACACAGATCAGTGGGAAAATCTTAATATTTATTTTATTTGATGATTTTTTTTTACTTTTCGTAACAGCTAATTTTCATTGGAGTATGACAGGTGAGGCTCAAGCCTCCCCTGCCTGACCCCTGACCACACGTCCCTGGTGCACGCTACACCCCCTGGGGGTCCGAGATGCCCTTTCTGGGGGACACGCGGGACATGGGCAGATTTAAAAAAAAAAGAAGTTTAAATAATCGCAAACACAAATTAAGTACGGGCACGTGAGTACAACCAACTTTGCTTCGTCAAATCCCGCGCAGATATTAACTTTGAACGTTTGTTTACGATTGAGAACGAAACGGGTGCAGTAAAGGGTAAGGAACCGCTGCTCGAAACGCGTGGTGATGTTGGTTCTAATTGTGGAGGGGGGAAAAAACCGGAGGTTCCGGAAGAAAAATCCACGCGACCACGGAGAGAGAGACACGCAAACTCCAAATATACAGCAGCAGCAGGCGTCAGGGTCGGGATCGAACTCACGACCTCCTGTAGACTAGGCGAGGAAATCAACATCTCCTAGCCACCGTGATGACGATGATAATGAAGAGAGAGACACGCAAACTCCAAATATACAGCAGCAGGCGTCAGGTTCGGGATCAAACCCACGTCCTCCTGTAGACCATATTCTTGGGTATTTCGGTAAAGTCACGTAGATAGGTTAAAATAAAATAACAAAAATAACAAAAAAACTACGACGTTTCGATCGCAACACAAGCGGTCGTCTTCCTGAAGACTTTATCGAAAGACCCAAGAATATGAATTCCTGCAGTCACGAAAGCTTTACGTCCTGTATACCAGGCGAGGGAGTTAACATCTCCTAACCACCGTGATGATGATGATGAGAGAGGGACACCGCAAACTCCAATTAAACAGCAGCAGGCGTCAGGGTCTGGATCAAACCCACGACCTCCTGTACACCAGGCGAGGTAGTCAACATCTCCTAGCCACCGTGATGATGATGAGAGAGAGACACGCAAACTCCAAATATACAGCAGCAGGCGTCAGGGTCAGTATCAAACCCACGACCTCCTGTACACCAGGCGAGGTTGTTAACATCTCCTAGCCACCGTGATGATGATGATGAGAGAGAGACACGCAAACTCCAAATATACAGCAGCAGGCGTCAGGGTCGGGATCGAACCCACGACCTCCTGTATACCAGGCGAGGTAGTTAACATCTCATAGCCACCGTGATGTTGATGAGAGAGAGAGAGAGACACGCAAACTCCAAATATACAGCGGCAGCAGGCGTCAGGGTCGGGATCGAACGCACGACCTCCTGTATATCAGGCGAGGTAGTCAACATCTCCTAGCCACCGTGATGATGATGATGAGAGAGAGACACGCAAACTCCAAATATACAGCGGCAGCAGGCGTCAGGGTCGGGATCGAACCCACGACCTCCTGTATACCAGGCGAGGTAGTCAACATCCCATAGCCAGCGTGACGTAAGCCCCAACTCGTTAACGAGCAGACGGTTGCGCTGATTGAGCGCTCAAAGTGAGTTTTGTGAGATAACAAATATCACCGACTTGGCAAAATGTAAAAAGTTCGCGGTGGGTTTGACTCTCCTCCTCCGCAGAGCCGGTGGTGCTGAACCGGATTACTAATCGGCACCTTTTCTACATCCGTAACGCAAACATTTGACCCAAGGCCGTAGCCATGGAGTCAACATTGGGGGGGGGAGACCAAATCTTCCAGGGGGTGTGGTGGTCCACCCCCACCCCCAGAAAAAAATCAAATTTGAAAACGAATTTCCTGCCTAAAATATTACAAAAAATTCACTAACACATAGGATGGACATTGTATTTATTTTTTTACAATAATGTCTAATAGTGTTATTGTATTACATTGCTCTGTTTTTTTATTTATTTTTACCTTTTCTTGCTTCATTGTATGTAATGGCAGAGATTAGGGATTAATAAAGTACAACCGTAACCACAATCATATGAACAGAAATCTATTTTACAGCAATATATTGGGGGAATATATATTACTAGCTGTACTACCCCGGCTTTGCCCGGGACTTGGATCCACCACGCCCGGCCGCCTTTGTCTCCCCAGTGGCGATGTTCACACACCACACCAGTTACTCGTTTGAGGCTGAGTCGACCTAGGGGATGCCCAGGACCGGTAAAAATAATCATCACCGGTGGTGGCCGTGAGCGGGAATCGAACTCGGGTCGCCGGGTTCGTAGCGCGGCGCGCTAACTGCTACACTACAATGGGTTAAGCACGCTTGACGCACCCCCATCCCCCCGAATCCTATAGAACGGCCGATATTTAATCCACGCAGAAACTATAACGGATGAACAATATGAACGTGTTTAAGTAAACAGATAGTCCACCGCCGGCTGCCTTAAAGAATTCAGTTGCGTGCCTTGGCCGCTTATTTTTTGCTGAGTTGCGTGATAGCTTGCAGTCGGGGGGGGCGGGGGGGGGGCACGGTGGCACACAGTTCCTACTTCTCCCGGTAGTACTTGTTGTCTGACAGCTGAAGAAACTGAACTGTGGCTCATTTGAGGTCCAATGTAGACAATTATCGAGGCTTCACCCCCCCCCCCCCCCCCACCGTTTCCAATGCGTGCATTGCCAGTAGACCCCCCATACGCAATCGTACGCATTTGGGTTAACCCCCCCTTCCCCCCTCCATGCGTACGCACTAAATGGATGGCCTCTAAGGCCACCAGGCATACAGGAGGCAGTGGGTTCCATCCCAACCCTGACGCCTGCTGCTGTATATTTGGAGTTTGCGGTGTCTCTCTCATCATCATTTTCATGGAGGCTAGGAGATGTTAACTACCTCGCGTGGTATACAGGAGGGCGTAGGTTCCATCCCAACCCTGACGCCTGCTGCTGTATATTTGGAGTTTGCGGTGTCTCTCTCTCTCTCTCTCGCCCCGTGGCGGCGTGGATTTTTCTCCGGATCCTCCGGGGTGTTTCCCTCCACGTGTAGAATCAGCGTCACGCGTTCAGATTGTTATTTGGTTGCTGTAAATTTCCACGCGATAAGCCACTTCGTTGAGCTATCCAGGTCACTTTTGAAAAATAGCTACAGAGCTCAGCGGGCCTTACCTGGTAACATAAAAAAAACACGTTTATAGTTATTGACAAACGTGTCGGGTTCCTTTAAATACGACCGCAGTTCAGCACAACTCCTCTTGACCGTGATTTAAACTAAAACAGGAAGCGACCTAACCACAAACAATAGTCTAAGTCAGGGATGAGGAACGTCCGGCCCGCGGGCCGTGTAAGGCACCGCAAAATTATTTGGTGTGGCCCTGCCAAGGCAACCGCAGGCGGGACTCGAAATTCAACAAATCTAGGAGCAAACCTGGAAAAGCAGTTGCGAGTAGCAGCAACATCATCAATACCCAGCTAACATCATCACACGCCTCGCCAAAGAGAAAGCAGTTCCAGCCCATCGCATTAGGGGGCGAGTTAATAAAAATGTTTGACCAAGTATAACGGGCTAATTTTTAAGTTGATAATTTTTTTTATGGCCCGCGAATGATGTTATATAAATATGCAAATTTGACCCTTGGCAGAAAAAAAAGGTTCCCCACCCCTGGTCTAAGTGACGTATCACGTGGCAATAGAAGCAGCCAAATTCTCTTTAAACGCGTGGCAAACGTTGATTCTAAACTTGGAGGGGCCAAAAAACCGGAGGACATGGAGGCAAAAATCCACGGCGAGAGATTCGCACAAAAAAAAACCTCCCAAATATACAAGCGGGCATCGTCAGGGTTCGGATTCCACACCCACGACTTCCTTGCGCACCAGGCGAGGGGGAGGGGAGGGGGGCGACATCTCGACACACGCCGATGACGGGGAGCTCAGCTTCACGGATCTCGTCTCTCGGATCCGGTAGCCACCAGGGCAGCGGATGCGCTTTCATCCGGCCGGCACGTGTAGTTAGTTATTTTAGTACTCGCTCATGAAGCTTGTCTTCGCCAGGCAAACAAGTTATCGCTAAATATATTATTCTTTTTTTTATCCACGATCGGATGCTAACTACTACTCCTAAAATGTGCATTCTTCCGCAAAAATAACCACAAAATGTGTCGACAGCTTGATTCAACTTCTTATATTTAAAGACGTAAACATCGGAAACAGCTCAAGTTAAAGATTCCGTTGATCTTATATTAGAGAAGAACACAAAATAATTAACTTAATAGTCTGTGAGGGAAAGCTCCTTTTACCATTTTCGAATTATTCAGATTTGAACATCAAAAAGTACGTATTCTTTTCGTTCAAAACCACTTGAATCCGAAATCTCAAAAACAATAAGATAGAGCAATGGTTCTCACTTTAATTTTATTTGCTGTTTAACGCTCTATCAAAAGAAGAAAAACCGCAATCTCATATTTTGAACGGTTTCTGAATGACACCACGCACGGACGTGTTTATGGGGCACTTAAAATCGAGATTTGGTGGGGGCCTTAAAACAAAAAATCTCGGATATTCAGATGACTCCTGTTGTTTTGTGCCCTAAGAGCTACCTGCGTAACCAAATTTCAGCCTCCTACATTGTCGGCAAATACCCCAGAGGCTTTTGAGACGTACAGATTAAAGATCTTGATTTCATGTAGTCGGAAGACAATTGTAACGAAAACGCAGGCCCAGTTACAGCGACTTGTGGCAGCATCTACACGGCCAGGGTGGAGAAGAAAAACCGCAATCTCATATTTTGAACGGTCTCTGAATGACACCACGAACGGACGTGTTTATGGGGCACTTAAAATCGAGATTTCGGGGTGGCCTTAAAACAAAAAATCTCGGATATTCAGATGTTTCCTGTTGTTTTGTGCCCTAAAAGCTACCTGCGTACCAAATTTCAGCCTCCTACATTGTCGGCAAATACCCCAGAGGCTTTTGAGACGTACAGATTAAAGATCTTGATTTCATGCAGTCGGAAGACAATTGTAACGAAAACGCAGGCCCAGTTACAGCGACTTGTGGCAGCATCTACACGGCCAGGGTGGACGTCGTTCGCGAGGACCGACAAAGCCCCACGACATGACTGAGCCCATACCACGAATAGGAGGGGAAATCAAGGTGGGGGGGGGGTGTGATAGCGGGAAGGGAACGTAAATCTTTGTTAAAATAGCTTTATTATTTTTGTTGTTGCTGTACACAAGAAAGGCCCACAGCTGAAGAATATCGGGTTGACAAAAACAACAACAGCAGCAGCAGCACGCGAATATCCGCTAGGCCGCATTCACCCGACGCGTCCTGGTTAATGGGGAGGGGGGGGGGCAGACAACCCGGAGAAGCGGGCGGATACAGAAACTACGTCGCATGGGAAAGTAGCGCCGGTGGAACACTCGTTTAGTTTACCGCTTCTGTACCACGCGGGTGGGGGCTGTTGCATATGTGGGTTATGAAAATTTGATGGAAATAAAAAAATGTAAATGAAATTGTGGAATTTGCATAATTCTCCGCAATTATGTTAATTTATGCAATTATGCATAAAAATATGCTAATTAACATAACTTCTAAATGTAATTAAAAATTTTGTATTATTTCCATCAAATTTTCATAACCCACATGTACAACAGGGCTTCAAGGAGCAGCCCGGTGCGCGCCTAAGGTCGTCGTCGTTGTCCCCTCTCGTTGGCGAGGCTGCGGCTGTGAGCCGGGCAATCTGTTTGAATCGTTTGCTGAATGATAACAATGACGTAATAACGATAACAATGACGTAATAACGATGATAACAATGACGCAATAACGATGATAACAATGACGTAATAACGATGACAACAATGGCGTAACAACGATCCACGCCTCGCTCGACACAATACTGGGAGATTGTCGTCGACCTGTGAGAGCCCCTCCGTTCGTCTGTGAACCTTGCGAGGTGGCAACTATTGCCAGTGTAGTAAGCATCGGAGGAGAAACGCTAAAAAGGCGGCCGGGCGTAGGTCCAGCCATGCTGTCCTTTCATGTGCTGACGCCAGCCTTAATAGGTGCTCGCTAACCAGCCCTTGCCACCCCCCCACCCTCTTTTATTCCCGAGCGAATCTCCGGCGCTGCACAGGGGGAGTCTCGCACGCTTCCGCGCGGCGCGCGCGCGTCATTTCCCAAGACGCGACACGGAGCGGGCGGGATCGGCCAGGCTCACGAGGCTGGCCCTGCCACTCCGGATCCGCCCGGCGTCCCGGATCCGCCCGCTCCGTTCCGCGAGTCCTGCGAGCCGGGGGCCGCGGTGGTCGCCTGCATGAGCTCGTACAGCTGCTCCACCTGTTCCTCGCGCAAGTTGGACAGGTGCTCGTCGTTCAGGTAAGCTCCGGGCCGGATCACCCGACCCGGATCCTGAGTCACCTGCGTGTGCAGGGTGGTGGCGTATGCCTGTGGAGGGTTGGGGGTGTCAGGTGGGCGAGAGGTCAGGGCAGGGAGGGAGCAAAGCGGAGGCCGATTATGACGACACAAGGCAGGCATCGGTTCTCCAACGCGTTATCTGGTTGTATGCACATTGTGTGTGTCCGTACGTTGAACTTCTTTCGCACCGTACGTCGCCAACCGTGCTAATCGGAGGTGCGGGGGAAGGACAAAAAGCAGTTGTTAAGAAATGAGTTTGCAATCTTGATGATTAAAAAGTGCATAGCTCCAGGGGTTTCATAACATCGGGAGGAGGAGCGTTCCAGACGGCCGCAGAAGCGCATCTGAAAGCGCGCGACGCGATGACCACCGTCTTTGTTCCGTGGCCGAGCCAAAAGCCGCCGCTGCTGTGAGGATGACCGTCGGAGTTGTGCGTGATGGTGGTCTATGCTCTCTGACGAGATCAGCGAGGTATCGTGGTTGCGCCATACTTCACCGCGCTGGTCGGTGTGGGTTGATGAAAGGCGGAGCCAGGAACGGTTCAGATGTCGCTCATGGCTCACGTTAGCCACGGCTAGGAATCAAACTCGAGTTACGCCGTTTTGGGGCGCTTTCGCGCGTGATATTGTTGAAAAGAAAGCCCAACTCGTGTTGTTTTCGTTGAAAGTGATTTGGGTACATGAGCTAGATTCTGGGCCACGGCTAACATCAGCTATACGCTGTCACAGTCGATGCATTCCATAAAGAGGGCCTGCGAGTAGCACACACAGTACACACATGGTACACACGCACAGTACACACACACACAGTACACACACAGTACACACACGCAGTACACACACACAGTACAGAGTATACACACACAGTACATACATGGTACACACACACACAATACACACACGGTAGACACACACAGTACACACACGCAGTACACACACGCAGTACAGAGTATACATACACAGTACACACACGGTACACACATATAGTACACATACGGTACACACACAATACACACACGGTAGACACACACAGTACACACACGCAGTACACACACACAGTACAGAGTATACACACACAGTACATACATGGTACACACACACAGTACACACACGCAGTACACACACACACAGTACACACACGCAGTACACACACACAGTACAGAGTATACACACACACAGTACACAGACGGTACACACATATAGTACACATACGGTACACACACAGTACACACACGGTACACACACACAGTACACACACGCAGTACACACACACAGTACAGAGTATACACACACAGTACATACATGGTACACACACACACAGTACACACACGCAGTACACACACACACACACAGTACACACACACAGTACACACATGCAGTACACACACACAGTACAGAGTATACACACAGTACATACACGGTACACACACACAGTTCACATACGGTACACACAGTACACACACGCAGTACACAGATTATACACACAGTACACACACTACACATACAGTACACACACAGTACACACACGGTACACACACGCAGTACACACACACAGTACACACACGGTACACACACAGAGTATACACACAGTACACACACTGTACACACACGCAGTACACACACACAGTACACACACACAGTACACACACGGTACACACACAGAGTATACACACAGTACACACACTGTACACACACGCAGTACACACACAGTACACACACACAGTACATACACACAGTACACACACACGGTACACACACACACACAGTACACACACGCAGTACACACACACACAGTACACACACGCAGTACACAGACACAGTACAGAGTATACACACACAGTACACACACGGTACACACACACAGTACACAGATTATACACACACAGTACACACACGGTACACACATATAGTACACATACGGTACACACACAGTACACACACGGTACACACACACGGTACACACACACAGTACACACACGCAGTACACACACACAGTACAGAGTATACACACACAGTACATACACGGTACACACACACAGTACACATACGGTACACACAGTACACACACGCAGTACACAGATTATACACACACAGTACACACACTACACATACAGTACACACACAGTACACACACGCAGTACACACACGCAGTACACACACGCAGTACACACACACAGTACACACACACAGTACACACACGGTACACACAGTATACACACAGTACACACACGCAGTACACACACGCAGTACACACACAGTACACACACACACAGTACACACACTACACATACAGTACACACACAGTACACACACGGTACACACACGCAGTACACACACACAGTACACACACGGTACACACACAGAGTATACACACAGTACACACACTGTACACACACGCAGTACACACACACAGTACACACACACAGTACACACACGGTACACACACAGAGTATACACACAGTACACACACTGTACACACACGCAGTACACACACAGTACACACACACAGTACATACACACAGTACACACACACGGTACACACACACGCAGTACACACACACACAGTACACACACGCAGTACACAGACAGTACAGAGTATACACACACAGTACACACACGGTACACACACACAGTACACAGATTATACACACACAGTACACACACGGTACACACATATAGTACACATACGGTACACACACAGTACACACACGGTACACACACACGGTACACACACACAGTACACACACGCAGTACACACACACAGTACAGAGTATACACACACAGTACATACACGGTACACACACACAGTACACATACGGTACACACAGTACACACACGCAGTACACAGATTATACACACACAGTACACACACTACACATACAGTACACACACAGTACACACACGCAGTACACACACGCAGTACACACACGCAGTACACACACACAGTACACACACGCAGTACACACACGGTACACACAGTATACACACAGTACACACACGCAGTACACACACGCAGTACACACACAGTACACACACACAGTACATACACACAGTACACACACACAGTACACACACACACAGTACACACACACGGTACACACAGTGTTGTCCCATGTCCGACCGCATAGCCACATATAGAGTGAACTCACGCCCCATAATATAGCGAATCTTTGGTAGAAATAGGTCATCCGCATACACGCAAAATCGCACGTATGCGGATAAACGTTATACGCGGACGCACTAACTTGTGTTTATAATGTATCAATTATGTTATTTTGTTAATGTTTTATGACAGCAAGGCAAAGATACCCCCATTAAAGCCTCAACAGACTGTTGGGGCAAGACCTGAGTAAATACGAAGGCCGGCATGGCAAACGCGAAGGTGGGTTCGGCCAGCACGACGCCCGGCCGCCTCCCCGCCAGCGGTGACGTCAACACACGCCGCACCGGCCACGACACTCATTTGAGGCCGAGTCGACCTAAGGGAAGGGTGGCGGCGGTGGGGGGTGGGTGGGGGTCAGGACCGGCGCGCACAACCGCCACTTGCGGCGGTGGGCGCGAGTGGCAACGCAACCTGGGGGCCTCCGGGGTCGGTGGCGCAGCGGCGCACGCCACAACGCGCACGCCACAACGCGCACGTGCGGCCGGCCCCCCCCAACCCCACCGCCGTCCGCGTCACGCGCTTGTTCGCTCGCGCTCTTGCCTAGCGAGCGTGCAAATAAATCGTAGCATCATCGCCCCCTCGCGAAGCACATAACAAGTGACGAATTGCGAGTCCGGCTCCCTCTTTACGATCATAATTGGACCACAAATTTCACCGGCGGCAATGTTGGGGAGGGGGAGGGGACGCGAGAGCGAGCGGGCGGTGGCCGTACCTGTTGCAGCCGCCCCCCCCCCCCACCTCGCCCCGCCCCCCAGTTCCCCCCCCCCACCACCACCACCACCGCCACACCACTCCGCAAAATTTACTGCCGCGAGAGGCCTCTCATTCACGCGGGGCATCATCGAAAACTCATTAGCGGCCGAACGAGCGGCGATAGAAATGCGGCGATCGCTATACCGTTATTTATTTATTAATCCCCCCCCCCCCCTCCTTCACGGGGGCTGTGCGCGCGCGCGGATATTGACTGATGGGGGGCGGGGGGGGGTCTCCGGTTGGTGACGGCGTGGAGCAAAACCACGATCGATGCATTCCTCTACAAAGGGAAAGGCCGGGCGGGGGAGGGGGGCGGCGGCGGGGGGGGGGGAGGGCGGTTGAGTGGAGAAGAAAATCTAAATCCAGCGGGACGCATTTTCAATTAGTCGAGGGAATTAGGGCCGTCATCGTCGTCCAACCCCCACCCACCAACCCCGCGCGCGACCAGGGGCTGCGCTTAAGCCGCATTTAGGGTCACGATACTATTTGGTGTGGGGGTTTGGGGGTGTGGGGGGCACGAAAATCTTCGCCGCCGAAAAGCCCCGGACGCGGGGGAAAAATCGCGGAGATGGAAAAAAGTTCCCGGAGGCCTGCGCGGGCGATTCCGCCGGACGGACGCCGACGTCTGAGCCAACAGGATAAAAAAAAAGAGCTTCTTCATCGCTCGTCGGGATTTCTCCCGGATACTTTTGTAAGATTCCGATTCTGTAATCTGACAAAAATCCGCGTTTTCGCGAGAGAGTGATGGAGGGAGGGTGGCAGGGTGGGTGGGAGAGAGAGCGTTGGAATTCGGTTTCGCGAGACGAAAAAATCTCCCGCGGATGCGAAAGAAATCGATTGGAAGGAACCGCGCGCGGGAGAACTTGATTTGGCTCGCGCGACGGGCGGACCTCGTTCGAATTTCCAACGCGGGCTCCCCCCGGCCGCCTTTTTGCGAGGCCCTCCCTCCGTGTGTGCGCGTCAATAATCGGACATCAAACGGTGGCGCGGGTTGCTTCATTATCTCGCCTCCCCCCGCCCCCCCCCGCCGCCCCCTCACGTGCTCAGCGAGGGGGCGGTAATGGCGCCACGGTTAGCGAGATGTTAACAGTGTTCTTTGGTTCTTTCGGTAAAGTCACGTAAATTAGAAAAATAATTTAAAAAAAATTCAGTGAATAAAAATACGAAATTATGCAAATAAAATTTAAGTCGAGACGTTAGCTGCCTCGCCTCGTACGCAGCAGTCCGTTGGGTTCCATCCCAACCCTCTGACGCCTGCCGTATATTTGTATTGTGCGTGTCTCTCTCTCTCTCTCCCCGTGGTCATCCTCGCAGCCGGCGGCTTTAGGCTAACCGTCGAACAAAGACGGTCACCGCATCGCGCGCTTTCAGACGCGCTTCCACGGCCGGAACTCTCTTCCTTCCGATATTAGGAAGCCACCGGCGGAGCTATGCACTTTCAAATCTCAATTGAAAACTCATTTCTTAACAACTGCTTTTAGTGTTCAGTTTGTTGTCCTTCCCCCAAACCTCCGACTAGCACGATTGGCTACGTACGGTGCGAAAGAAGTTCAACACACGCACGTACATCCCCGACGAAAACCGAGGTATCGCTGTGCACGAGAAAACTCTACTCCGTGCCGCGACGTAAATAATATACGTTCTAGTCCATCAGCCTATCGGTTTAAAAGATCAATATTATCGAGCGGGCTTATTACTCTAATTCTGCTGGCTTACCACGTGTTATTGCAATGACACCTGACGATCCAGCAGCATTTGTTTAACAAGCCAGACTCGGCTGAAGAGACCCAGAAGATCGAACCCGAACCCGGTCCCGAGATTAGCTCGGCTAAATGAACGCAACGTTGATAATGATCCTGTCTGCCAAAAAGCCTATGATGGACAGGCCGATGGGTAACCACACCAAATGCGCCTCCACGTGAATGGGCGCCTGGCAGCGGCGGCCTCGGTTTGCGTTTTGCTAAACATTTCGTCACATCTTCAGAGCCAACACTCATTTTGGCTCTCCTGCGGATTTTCTTTCCAGAACAAATTATCCCAAAAAGTAACAAACGCAATAATTAAAGGTCCCAATGAATGTCTGCTACCCATATAAAAGGCGTGCCTCGCAAAAGCAATTGACCTCAGGGTAATTGTACGTCTTCATCATTTTCCTAGTTCGCAAAAAAAACTATTTATTTCGCATGCAGGTGACGGCGCGTGTGTGTTGGGGGGAGCGCCAGTGCAGCGGTCAGCGAGCTGCGCTACGAACCCCGCCGACCCGAGTTCGACTCCCGCTCATGGCCAACGCCGGTGACGATTATCTGAATCGGTCCTGTGCCTCCCCTAGGTCGACTCAGCCTCAATTGAGCACCCGGTGCCGCGTGTAAACATGTCCACGGAAAGGGAGTGTCACGACAATTTGCGTGGCGATCCACAAACCCTCGCCGCTGCCTCCACAGTGATGGATTACAGACGGTGAGTGTGACAGTGATCACGATGACCAGAGAGAGCCACGGCAATAATCTTGACTCAAAGCTTTCGTGACTGCAGGAATTCATATTCTTTAGTTCATATTCAAATATTTTTTTGTTATTTTCTTTGAACCTATCTACGTGACTTTACCGAAAGACCCAAAAGAACGCGACAACAATGTTCGCGGTGATAGCGGCAACGGTAAGGGTGCTTGTGGCGGTGATTTTGGCAAAATCAGCAATTGTGGTGGTGGTGGTGGCGATAGTGGTGGTGATGGTGGCGGAAGTGGCGACGGTGGTGGAGAACTGTCTGTGGTGGCGTTTATAGCGGTGGTGATGGTGGTGGTGGCATACTGTGTCTACCCATACGGTTTACCCGTATTCTTGTACAGGGAAATTGAGTTTTCAGGTCCATATGGCGTACGGCCGTTTCAATACGGGTAAAACGTATTTTGTCCATTTGTTTGTGTTTCTCCCTTGTGATGGGGCTTTGTAGGATGAACGTTGAGATTTATAAGGGGCACGCGGGGTGACCAATAAGGACTGAATTGGTCTGTAATAAGATAGGGCACTGATAAGGGGTTGACAGGTACGTGGTGGTGGTGGTGATGGCGGTGAAGGGGGTGGTGGAGATGGTGGCGGTGATGGCGGTTGTGGCATTGGCGGTGGCAGCAATGTGTTCATGATTGTGTTTACAGTGATCGTGGTGGTGGCAGCTATGATGGCGGTGGGATTGGTGGTGATGATGGTGGTTGCAATGTGTGGGTGATGGTGGTGGTGGTGGTGGCTGAGTAGAGGCTTGCGGAACCCCAATGTGGTTTCAGGCCAGGGTGGTCCCGCAGAGACACAATATTTTCTGTCCATATGCTTAAGCAGAGGTGTAGGGAATTCCAACAGGACCTACATCTCAGCTTTATTGACCTGGTCAAGGCTTATGCTTTCATCAATAGGCCTGGGCTCTTGGTTGTTCTTTGTGCTTTCAGAGTCCCTGACTCTGCTCACAATCATTAAGGAAATTCATGATGGTGAGCAGACTCGGTTAAAGCTACGTGGCCGGAAGTCAGAGCCATTCACTGTTCACCTTGGGGTGCGACAGGGATGTCCTCTGGCTCCGACATTATTTAATATCTATTTTGACCACGTAGTTAGATAAACTTTCCATGGCTGTACCAGAGAAATCTCCATCTGGTACAGATACAATGGGAGGCTGATCAATGCCCGGGTGTGATCGAGGGATGGCTCCCTATTGGTCAACCATGTAATGTATGCTGATGATCCGGTGATTGCTGCTCACTCAGAGGAGTTCGAGGTGCTGTTGCTTGACCTGGAGCGTGCTACTAAGAAGTGGGGCCTTACCATCAGCCCCTACAAAACTAAGCACCTGCTTGGGTATTGTGCCATCAAAGACTCCACCCACTCAACCCCTACTGGTGGGGCAGTTGTGGAGGGAGTGGAGAAGTTTCCATACCTCACCAATGTGCTCATGACCAGTTTCAGTTTGGCAGCAGAGGTCTCACTCCGAATCAATCGAGCGGCAATATCTTTTCATTGGCAGCGTAATGCCGTGTGGAAGCTACCTGGTCTGTCGCTTCACACAAAGCTTCTGGTTTTTTCGGCCAAGGTCATAATTCTCCCTTTTCTATGCTTGCGAAACGTGGACACCCCTAATAGAACACCTACGCCTGTTAGAAACATTGAGGCTGGCCTGCCTACGATCCTGGGTTTAACCAGGCTGGATTGTTGGAGGAGCTCACTAATCCTTGAAAGATCTGGACACAGTCCCATCGGTGAGCTCCTCCGGCAGGAAAGGCTGCGTTGGCTGGGTCATGTAGCCCCGCTTACCAAACCACCGCATGCCCAAACAGCTTTTGTTTGGCCGGACAGAGGGGAATAAACAGGCACGGCACGGGCCAGAGAAGAGATGGAATGATGTGGCACGAGAGTAAATGGAGCTGAGTCGATTTGCCGATGACTGGTACCAGTGGTGTCAGGATCGTCCTCTGTGGAGGAGGCTCGTGAAGGACGCTACTGGGCAGTTGGAAGCAGTCGCCCTCCAGCAACAACGGAGGGCGGAGGAGAGATGCTCAAAACAACGAGCGGAGCGCCGGGCAGCTAAAACAGCAAGTTGGCGCAGTAGGGGGGGGCACAGCTGGTGATGCATCAGCCAGTCATCTCAGTCAGTCAACCCACGGCACCTGCTGGGACTGTCCCAGCGAGCTTTCGATGTTTCACGTGGCCTCGAAGTGCACCTGGCCTGGCGCAGGTGCCGTGGTGACGTCACCGTCACTTAGTAGCGAATGGTGGCTCTTGTATTGGTGATCGTGGCGGTGCCTGTGATGGTGGTGGCGGTAGCAGTGTTTGAGTGATGGTGGCGGTGGTGACAGCGGTGGCATTGGTGGTAGCAGCAATGTGCGAGTAATGGTGGTGGTGGCGGCGGTATTGGTGATGGTGGCGGTGCCAGTGATGGTGGTGGCGGTAGCAGTGTTTGAGCGATGGTGGCGGCGGTGACGGCGGTGGCATTGGTGGTAGCAGCAATGTGCGAGTAATGGTGGTGGTGGTATTGGTGATGGTGGCGGTGCCAGTGATGGTGGTGGCGGTAGCTGTGTTTGAGCGATGGTGGCGGCGGTGACGGCGGTGACGGCGGTGGCATTGGTGGTAGCAGCAATGTGCGAGTAATGGTGGCGGCGGCGGCGGCGGCGGCACCGGCAACGGTGGTGGCGGCAATGGCCCCCGACGGGAGAAACTCGCCTCCCACTCGGCGAGGAACTGCTCGGCGAGGCGCGGGCCGGCCGTCTTGTTGCGCCGGAACTCGTCCTTCACGTAGCGGTCGCCCAGCTCCGCCAGCTCCACGGGGAGGTGGCGGTGCAGCTGCAGCAGCCGGCGGTAGAGGCAGCGCACGCGTGTCGCGTGACGCACCGCCGGCATCTCCCGTCCGGCGTTGACCCTGAACGGACGGCGTTGGAGGAGGAGGCGCACTTCCGATTGCAACTCGGGGGGGGGACTCCTCTACTTACGAACATTCGACTTACGAACTTGCAGAGATGCGCAATAGACAGCGGTGGCCGCATCTCTTATCTGTAGAACGTGAAGAACCAGTGGCATTCTACGTCTACAGAATATGAGACAACTTTTTAAAAGCCATTCGACCTTGTTTAGTGTACACGCCGTACAACGTGTTTGGAATCGACAGGCGTAAAGTTGGACTTACGAACAAATCGACTTACGTACAGACCTCTGGAACCTAACGAGTCCCTGTATTCATATTTAGTGACTCGCTTTACCATAATAATAGGGGTTTTTCCCCTTTTTTCTGGCAACAAAACTGAAACCTTTTTACAAGGAATCATGTCTGCATTAACCACAATACTTGTGGTCAAAATGCAAACAAACAACACACTGATAATTTATGCATTGTCCTTGAAACTGATTGGTCCACACCAGAGACAGCTTTCTTTTGAGCCTCGTCTCAATTGGTGCTAGACCAGAGGACGCCAAAAGGCGTACACAGCTCAAAGACAATGCCACTATCAAAGTAATGAGGGCTCAGGGTAAGCATCTACATCATTAGACCTCGTTTGCCAATACTATTATTATACTTTGGTACTGGCAAAGGAGGTCTAATGATGTAGTCGCGTTACCATCTTATATATCTGTGCACCCCCTATTGCTTTGTTTGTATCGTTCTGTTTGTAACTTAACTAAACCCCCCGCCCCCCGTGACCATGCTGAGACGTCTGTGGAAAAAAAGAGCTTGACAGCTCATCGGATTCCTCATCCTGCTGCAGTCTGAAATAAAGGTTCCAATTCGGAATTGTTGAGCTGACACTCCCATCCAACCACGTGCCGCGTAAGGATCGGGTGTCTATCGAATTCGCGCAAGTTTGCACCAGAGGCCGCTACATTCGCGTGCTTCACAGCGGACGAGTGCATTCTCGTTAACGCAGACACATCCCGTGTCCGTGTGTACAGAGTTCGTGGTTTTGGATTGACATTTTAATCAAATGTTGAAATTTGGAAGGAAAGCGTGTCGGGCCTTTTTAGGGCGTTCTAATCATTCACATTATGTAACCGTCTAACTTGTCTTAAAGCCAACAAAAACACTTTTTGTACTCTGCTGTTTCTTGCAAACGGTAACAACATGGTCATGGCGCTAGATGCCAACGTGGAGGTCTGCTCCTGGCACACGACAAGAGGGCTTCAGAGGAGAGAGGGTTCGTGTTGTGTCGCTCTTCCTGGATTTTACCGTGCGGTCCATAGCTTGGGTTGCACGTCCACAGTCGCTTGTCTATAATGTATCTCCATGGGTCTCTCCGAGACTCTGTATACGAGTCACTATGCATGTACGTCTGTCTTCTACGCGGGGCAATGTGGTTCAGGTAGCTCGATGCCTCTGCTGCTGGCCACGACGAGAGGGCTTCTGCAGTAGAGAGAGAGAGTTTGTGTCGTGTCGCCGCTCATCCTGCTCCTCCGTAGGCTACAGTGGTTCACCTGGTGGTTCATAGTTTGGGTTGCGTGGCCAAATTCGCACTGTGGCGTGCGTTGTTATCTTGGTGTGCGTGCTCTGGGACTGTTGTTGTTGTTGTTGTTTTTGCTGCCTTCCCTAAGTTTGATAAATGGGACTTGCAAAAACAAAAGTCTTTATATTCATATTCTTGGCTCTTTTGGTTAAGTCACGTAGAAGGGAAATAATAAGATAATAAAATATAAAACAATAAAATTCTCACGACGTTTCGATTGCAACACAAGCAATCATCATCAGGTGTGAAAACCACAGCAAGAAAATTTTCTCGCGAATTTTATTGTTTTATTTTTATTATTTTATTGTTTCCCTTCTACGTGACTTTACCGAAAGAACCAAGAATGTGAATCCCTGCAGCCACGAAAGCTTTAAATCGATATTTATAATAATTGTTTTTTTTACCCTTTTATCTGGCAACAAAAACGACACTTTTTTTTACAAGGAGTCCTGTTTGCATTGACCACAATACCTGCGGTCGGAATGGAAACAAAAAACAACTCTGATAATGTATACTCTGATGGTGCATTGTCTTTGAGTTGTGCGCCTTTTGGCATTATCTGGTCCAACACTATTTTGCACAACCTTGTCGTGTTTTTGTTGAATAAAAGAGCTTCATAGCTAATCGGATTCCTCCAGTCTCAATAATGTACAGGTTCTGATTCATGTATCTCTATGGGGGTATCTTTGTTTCTCAAAGGGGTCTCTATGGATCTCTACGTGTCCCGATGGGTCTCTATGGATTTACAAAGTTTGGGTGACATGACCACGATGTCGCGACCGTGGATTATCTTTGATGTAAGCTTCCACTTTCCTGCGAAGTGTGGTAATTAAGTACTGTCGACGGAATCGATAGTATGCTTCCTGAAAACGGGATACTTTCACACATCAATCCGAAACAAAACATTTCTCCCCCGAATCATTTGACATAAATCCGCTTTTAAGGCCTTATATTTTCGCCTTTTTTCCCCCTAAATAAATCAGAAAATCGGGAACACACCCCTAATATCCGCAAGGAATGACCGTAGTCCATCACAATACAACCACGGGGTAGGCGACTTAAGGCTGCAGTCGACCGACGCGTGCACAACTTTTGTTTGAGGCTTTGCAATGAGCGCCACCCTGTGGTTCGTGAGAAGCAACGAGACACTCCAAAGATTTACAACTAAACTATTCATTTTACCAAGGGTTATAAGAGCCACTTGAGCCTCGCAGATCTTTTTTTATTACACGCTTTCTTTTAACTCACTCTGTCTGTTGTTGTTGTTTTGGTAGTACATGCTATGTATATCGTTTATTGTAAAATTTCAATCACAGTTCCTATGATCACTGTCACATTGCTTTTATAGCTTTATTTTGGTGATTTCGAAAACTTTTGGTTTCGCCATATTTGTTTGTTTTAGTACAGAGTTAGACTGATGACTTTAATCGAAATTGTCTTATGGTTGTTATTGTTTGACTTGCATCCCACTGGGATTTTTGCACACAGCATTGATACACGGTGCTTTTACTGGTAGGAACCTCCTGGTTACACCAGCCCACAGGGGATTATTGTGTCCGTCCGTCCGTCATCGTGCATCCAAAAATGGGGTGGAGCTGGGTGGAGAGGGGCTGGGTGGGGAGGGGCTGGGTGGGGGGTGGGGCTTGGTGGGGTGGGGCTGGGTGGGGAGGGTTGGGGCTGGGTGGAGAGGGGAGGGTGGGGAGGGGCTGGGTGGGGCTGGGTGGAGAGGGGAGGGTGGGGAGGGGCTGGGTGGGGCTGGGTGGAGAGGGGAGGGTGGGGAGGGGCTGGGTGGAGAGGGGCTGGGTGGGGAGGGGCTGGGTGGAGAGGGGCTGGGTGGGGAGGGGCTGGGTGGGGGGTGGGAGGGGTGGGGCTGGGTGGGGAGGGTTGGGGCTGGGTGGGGAGGGGAGGGGCTGGGTGGGGAGTAGCTGCGTGGGGAGGGGCTGGTCACCCCGTGGTGCCCTTATAAAACTCAACGTTTAACCTACTCACGCCGGCTTGTGCCCGCCCTCACAGTCGGGCATATTGTGCGGAATACACCACGTGGTGCCGCCGTTGACCCTGGCCATTGACCGAGCAACCCAACGTTCCTACCAGCTCCCTCCGCAGGAATGTGTTTCTGGAAGACTTTGCTGTTGTTTCCTGGATGTTTCTGTTTGTGCGTAAGTCACTTTAAGATGTTTTCTTGTTCATGTTTTTTGTTTGTTGTGGTTGCATCCGATTCAAGAGCCGAATGGCTCACAGGGCTATACCAAAACAAATGAAACTGAAACTGTATCCCCAAATCTTGTAACTCAATTTCACCCCACTTCCCAATGTGGTATCGACTGCAAATTTGGTATACTTATGTCATACTGATGACAAAACTATATTCTATCATAAAAAATATATATTTTTAAGCATTCTTTTTTATATGTTATGTTTCGGCTTGGGTCTAATTGTCCACGCTCAACTGACGTTGGCTGTAATTGCCCACGGTCCATTACGTTGTGGCAAGCTTCGGGGCCACTTCCTGGAGTCGTGGAGTTCTGCCATTACTTATTTTGAGAAGCGTCCTGGTAGTCACAAGCGATAATCTCAACAAGGCGGCGGTAGTTTACCATCGTCACGTGGACACTCACAAGCAGCCCAAATACTAAATTTAGACTTTAAACTTTCGTGACTGCAGGAATTCATATTGTTTGATTCTTTCAGTAAAGTAACATAGATAGAAGATTTACAAAAAAAAAAACTCGCGACGTTTCGACCGCTTGTGTTGGGTTCGAAAAGTCGTGAGTTTTTGGTTTTTTAGTAATCAGGGGCAGAGCCAGGATTTTGACTTTGGGGGGGGGGGGGGCGCCACAAATGTATAAAACACATTTTATTGGATTTGAACGCGGAGTTTATTAATAGGTCGGAGCCGCCGATGTGGCTAATAAGTTTGATAAGTTCGAAAGGCTGCCGCTCAAGCAGCCTGCAGGGCAGCACACAAGGTGGCAGCACAAGGTGGCAGCCTGCAGGGCAGCACACAAGGTGGCAGCCTGCAGGGCAGCACACAAGGTGGCAGCCTGCAGGGCAGCACAAGGTGGCAGCCTGCAGGGCAGCACACAAGGTGGCAGCCTGCAGGGCAGCACACAAGGTGGCAGCCTGCAGGGCAGCACGAGGTGGCAGCCTGCAGCATTTTGCAGCAGCCGGATATCCGGTTATCCCGATTACCGACTTTCCCAAAATTTCAGGAGGGGCTGAGCCCCCTCCCCCCCAGCCCCCCCTGTGGGTCCGCCCCTGGTATTAATTTTATTTTTTATTATTTGTATTATTTTATATCTACGTGACTTTATCGAAAGCACAAAAGAATACAGCCAAATACTCTTAAACGCTCGATGTTGATTTTAAACGCGGAGGGCAAAAGCCGGAGGACCCGGAGAAAAAATCCACACGACCACGGGGAGAG